ATATATATATATATATATATATATATATATATATATATATATATATGTGTGTGTGTGTGTGTCTTGTTTGTCTTCTTTATCTTCAATTGGACTTAATTCAAGTCTGGCATTTTTCTTGTAGTTGGACCTTTTAATATTCTACCAGGAGTTACACACGTGTTTCTAATACAACACGTAAATACACACACGGTCCTCTACAAGCCCATCACCTCCAATTCGTGTTGTTTTTCGGAACTGATACATGCAAAGTTGTAAACATAGTGGCCAGAGGTGATAAAAATGAGTCTATCCTCGAGCAGTTTGACCTAAAATGCCCTATAGCAAAAAACTCATGCAATTAGGCATCAATTTCCTTTCCTAAAATCCCTATTTACTGGACCTGTCTCCCTGCCAATTGCCACTTTTTACAAACCTTAGAATAAAATGAATAGAGAAGCCTGCAAATGGACACAAACGAAAAGGCTTTCAATTTGTTAACTAACCATAACGTCGGGTTTGTATTGTTTGACAGTAAATTCGCAATGAACACTTTAAAGTGTATTTTTCAAAAGGGATATTTATTTTGATCCAACCTGAAAAATTCGTTATAAAATTTCGAGGAAATGTTGAAAATAACTTGGAATTAATTGGGATAAAAATGGAACTAAGTGATAGAAAAAGAATCAGAATCATAATCGTAGACCACAAATGCTCGTAGATCTCAGTAAATAAAGAGAAAATTATCTATCTATATTTCTGAGATGAGGTATTATGTACATTATTTACATTATTAGGACTATTGTACTCATCCTTGTCGCCATATTTATTACAATCCCCGGCTTTTATGCGCTCCGGCCTTCTTCAGGTGGTTGGAATGTCGAACTGAACCCTTTATTTAGCTCACTGGGGTAGACTGTTCTAGTTCCACCTGCCATGTTTAATGGATGTCACTTATCAGTTACCTCCTGTTAATTTCCCTCTGAAAGTTCTCCAATGCCTTAGCCGGGTATTGAACTCACATTCATTAGTTAGCTCCAGTGACATTCCAACCACCTGAAGAAGGCCAGAGCGTACAATGGCCGAAACGTTGTAATAAATATGGCAACAAAGATGAGCACAATAGTTTGAATAATGAAGAGAAAATTAGTTTTGATTAAAAAAAATGTATGTACAATGATAATGACATGATAACACCAGTATTTTTCTTTTTATCTCTGACTGTTGACCCACTTTAAAAAGACAAACTTAATAACAGAAATGACTGCATTTCCATTTCAAATTAAAGAAATTGTATTATTTACATTATTCGAACTGTTATCCTCATCTTCATTGCCACATTCACAACATTTTGGCCTTGGTATGCTCCAGCCTTCTTCAGGTGATTTCAAATCAAACTCTTTATTTTGTCCACCGGGGTAGATTATTCTTGTTCCGTGTGCCATGCCTCTTCCAGGTATCTCAGTTATTTCTACCCCAGTGGATTAAATAAAAGGGTAGGTTCGAAATTCCAATCACCTTAAGAAGGCCGGAGCGTACAATGGCTGAAACATTGTGAATATGGCAATGGAGATGACAATCACTGTCCAAATAATGTAGATAATGTAGATAATCATAATACCTCATCTCAGAGATATAGACAGGTACTGAAAGAAATTAGTAAACCATAAAATTGATCCCTCCTTTTAATAAAAGATATGAAAGTAAATCTGAAAGTCACTTGATTTGTTATGAGGCACGAATATGTAGTTTTGTTAATATTTCATTGCCAATTGATTTCCTCTCTCAAAAGATTTATTATTTGAAATTTAATTTTTTGTGTCCCATTCAAATAAACAGTTTAGGTTCCAAATCAATAATAAGTTAACTCATTTGCTTTATAATTGGTGTTGCTATTGTAAATAAACAATGATGTCACCACTATAGCCAGTATTTAGCACACACTAAGTCTCTCTTAACTTTTCTCTTTCAACCTTTTACATTAAAAGTTTCAGTGCCTCAACCGAAGGGCTGCCTTAATAAAAGATTTCCATCAGAGTTTAATCATTTTGAATTCTTTAAAACTGTTTTCCACACACACATATACACGCACACTAGTAAAAGATTTTTTGTGTAAAATAAATTGTTTATTAATAACTTTGTGTATTTGGCTGTGCTTCTAAAAACATCTCTTCTTCCTGCTAAAGAAATTAATTTATAAAAATCTATTCATTATTTCAATATTGTTATTTATAAAAAAAAAAAAATTAACTCCTTACCAAGTGCTAAACACAAAAACCTAGTTAGTAGGAATGGAAAGGCAAAAAAGAACAAGTGATTCTCTTCTCCTTGAGGTCAAAATAGGCACAAGTAACAGAATAAGACTCAAGCACTGCATAAAATTTTAAAGGAAAAACAATTATTATACAAGTGAAAAAAGGTACAAATTCAAAATTTCTACAAAATTTTCCATTTATACGCCTATTAAATTTCTGATGTTTAAAAGAAGGAATACTATTGAAAAAATAGGGAAAAAAAGGGGTTA